CCCCATTTGGATGTAGTTATATAGGCCCAACACCAAATGCCCACATGGGCAACCCACGTTGGACCTTAATGGAACCCATGTACGGTAGGTTGAATATTAATGGATCAGAACAATGGTTTATTATTAATGCTGAAAATCTGATCCACTTTGATGCTATGGGGATGTTCTAAACCTTCTGAATCAGTGGACCCCAACACTAATCCTTAAGTTCTACTGTCCTGCATATTTTAGATGTATCCCTGCTGGAACACGGCTAATTAAAATGACTGAATTACCACTTCAGCATACCATCAAGTCTTTTTTTTTTTTTTTTTTTTTTGTATTAATATTTTTATTAGGAGTAAGAGAGACATTACAGACAAAATTTAAACTGTAAACAACATGGTATGCCATATCGAACATGCATATATATGGATAGTAGCGTAATGAAAGGCATACAATTTAGCTCCTGTGGGTTTTTTTTTTTTCAATACCATCAAGTCTGACAAAAGCTTGTTAATAAGTAATTCATTTAAATGAGCTGTGCTGGAGCTGGGTTGCATCTAAAACCTGTAGGACGGCATATCTTGAGGACCAGAGCTGGAGATAATTGTAGGTATTTGCACCTGCAACAATTCCATAAACAGGGGTTAGAGCTGAACCTATTTAAAACTAACTGAAAAAAACACAAAACTCATTAAAACACATTAGCTCATTTGTGCATAAAGCAATATCCTTGTAACATTCAACAGCTAACAAGTCTTAACCTGTTGATTCTGTATTTTTATTTTTTCCCTCACTTTTGAACCATTTACAACAGCTTTTTGGATACCATACCTTCTTATATCCATCCATCCATCCATCCATCCATCCATCCATCCATCCATCCATCCATCCATCCATCCATCCATCCATCCATCCATCCATCCATCCAATCAACCAATCAACCAACCAACCAACACATTTTATGTTACATTTCTGTCCTTTGACTTTTGATTTTTCCTTTGTTTAGTTACATATGTTGTTTTATGATACTTAGACATGAGCAAATGAGAAAGTAAGGATTAGAAAGATATTTGTGTGGAAGTAAAAGTAAATCAGAGAGTATCAGAAAGAAAAATCAGGGCGTGCAGGTGATGCAGTGGTTAGTGCGCACGACCCATGTATGGAGGCGCACGACCCATGTATGGAGACATATGGCCGACCCGGGCCGGCCACATGTCTCTCCCTCTCTCTCATATCCCCTTTCCTTTCAGCCTACTATCAGAAAAACAAGCCACTAGTGAAGTAAAAACAAAAAAAAAAGAAAAAAAAGAAAGAAAAATCAAGTACATTACAAAAAAAGTACATTCCGAAATAATTAATATTTTGTGGTAAGACCTAATGATGAAGGGAGTTACTACTTTGATAAAAGATAGCCAACTTCCAAAATGCACGGACACATTAACGATAAACATTTGCAGCCTCTGCATAATCTTGAAGCCTAAAATGATGTAACTTCATCAAATGGATGAAAACCTCGCGGACGCGTCATGCATAAACCAAACTTAATTGCTCAGACTTGATTGGTTGTGCAACAGAGGGAGCAGTGAGTGATCTTATCTTCGAAGGCCGCACAGGAATGTCATAATATTTTATGTGATAATTTTATATTCAAGCCCACCCTAGTGAGGATGGCAAATATGTTATTTGGTCAAATAACTTAGACTGCCAGGTATTGTTATGTTAACACATGCCAAACTGGCTGTATGTTAGAGCACCAAATTAAAGAGTTCAAATCATGGTCAAACAATTAACTCCTCACACATTTGGAATGCATTCACATCAACTTTCACTCAAAATACAAGAATTTATTAACAAAACTCATTCAGCATATATTTCAGTTAATTTTATGAAAAGTGTTTTTATTGGATTTTATAACATACAGCTGCACACAGCAGGTAAACATCTAGGAACTCAACAAGAAGATCAAATACCCTGTACACATACCATAAAATGTATTGCTAAATCCTAATAAAGATAAATTGCCCCAAAAGCTCTAGAATCAATCAGAGTAAGTAAAATAAAACAGGCAAAAAGTACATAATTAAATACATAAATTTATAGTACAGCTGAAATAATTTAGTCGAAAGGAAGCTTCTCAACATATAGTAGTAAAACGACTGCCACAGCTGTATGAATTTTCCTTCAGAGCCTTGAGTTATACAGTATATCCACTTTGAGTTAATCCACCATGTCTATCACCAACCAAACATGAGAAGCGGGTACCGACTTCTTCTATTTACCAGATATACTGTGCCTGAAGTGTGGTGAAGGACAGTGTGGCATGGGGGGAGATATCCTACATCCCAATAGAGGAATCACACCAAATAAAGCTTTAACAGGGTATGGCTTAATTGTTACTACCCACACTGCAGAAATGGTGTCAAAACTCCCTCTCAAAGGTCTTTTTTTCTTGGACAGCCCTAAAACATACGGCAAAGAGTGCCAGGATCACATTTAGGCTTACATCTTGGACAGCTTTTCCTGGTTCCTGGAAACATTTTGGCAAAGTTGATTGATTGATTTGATAATTAAGGTCTGTGCAGGACTTCAAAGTCCAGGCCTGACCCAAATAGATGGATTATACACCCAGTGAACTGCTTTTTCCATTCTGTTGCATATTTATGTTAAAAACTGTTTTCAAAAACTGTTTTCTTTTAACAAATTCTAAGTTGTGAAAGGTTCTCTAAATATCAGAATCAGTTTTGCAACTTAATTATATTCATTCATTATGAATTTGAACACCCAATTATCTAGTATGCATTGATCAGTTTAAAGCATCTTTATCATCAAGATAGCACAAAAAAAAATCCTATTTTATACTGCATTCAGTAAATCAAGTTCATCAACGTTCAAACTTAACCAGCTTGGACATCGGTCCTCATTGTCCAAACATTAATATCATGGTTTATTCCATTACACCACCACCATGGAACTACACACAGCAGCTTCTCAAGCAGGAGCAGGTATCATTGCACCAATATCCAGACAAGAGATAAGGTTATGAATTTTGTAGACAACACCACCTTGGTGGCTCTCATGAGGAGTTTTCTATTGACCTTTAAACATAGTAGAGTCTCCTCAGGGGCTTATAAACTTCCATAGGGCTACAATTAATAGCATCCTGTGTCTTGGCATGGCATTATAGTGTAAGAGCTACAAGGCCCAGGAAAAGGACTTAGCGTAGGAGACTGGAGGAAACTATCTTTCAGATCTGGATTCAGTTTATGTTGCATAACTCTAGAAAAGGCAATGCAATGCAAATTTCACCCCCTCTGTCATCGGCAAAAAAAAAATTGGCAACATTAAATCCAGAACAGATAGACCTGAAAAAAAAAAAAAAAAGCTTTTTGGCAGAGTTCTAAAAGCAGCTACCCCACCCTGTACACTCTAAACATGATCTCATATACACAGAAGCATTCCCGCTGAGATTAAAGACTGAACTGGAACTCGCAAAGGCTGTATTTTATGTAAATATTACATTTCTATGTACATATTTTTAATTGTGTTACTTTATACCTTCTACAAGTGTTTCTAATTTTTCTTCTACAAAAATGTATCCACCTTTATTTTCTACACACCACTTTGTCTTTGTCTTTGCAAACTGTTGATTTGGTTTAATATTGATAATAAAGATTCCTTATTATTTGTTCCAAACATCGACTTTGATCTAATAAAGTTAATAGTTTTTTGCAGCAAGGCTTTATTTTTTTACTTCAGGTATCACAGTTATGATTGTTATTTATTTAAAAGATGACTACAAAGCAAAGCATAAGAGATAATTGCTAAAAATTATACTCATATATTGTTTTGTAAAATAGATGTGACATGCATGCTCTTAAAATAGAAAGCTTACAGTAAATGAACCCAACATGTGAACAAGAGAGGACTGTAACCATTTTAATGGAGGAGATGCTGGGTCATTGTATGAGCATAGATGATGAGTTGAATATGGGTGGGGCATAATCTGAATGGATTTGATGAATGGGAATAGACTGATTAAACAAGCACAAACTGTCCTTATATATTAGGAACAGTGTCACAAATGGAAAATCTTTCAACAGGTGATTTAGAACAGAACAATCCATACATGCAGATATCTTGTAATATATCCTTTTTTACAAACAGCAGGACTGAAAATCACAACAGTGATTCATCATTTTGTATTGCAGTAATGTCTTTTGCTTTTGCCTTGCTCTCTGTTCCACCTCTCCTGACACAGTTGTAGGGAGCAGAGCAATGATCCGTGTCTTAGTGAAACCTGGTGAATAGTAATGAACCACGACTGTGTGTCTATTTGAGGGAAAGTGAGAGGGAGACTGAGTGGGAATGGGAAGGGTTTGAGGCTAAAAGAGAGGAGGGGGGTCCATTGAAAGAAAGGAAAAAAAGGCTTTATATGCAGCACTGGCAGCAAAGAAGTGACAGAAATCAATACATTTCAATGTTTCTATAATCATCCCGCATTCTAACAAGACCAAGGTGACATCCCTCGTAAAAACCTCAGGTAAAATGCTGCTTCTTTTCACTGAGTGGCTCTCTTGTTTCTCATAAAACTGTGGCATTTTCTCTGCGCTAACCCCCCAGCATTACACAAAACACAGACAGGGATTGGAGGGTGTATTAGTCGAGATAATAAATTGAGGGAGGGAGGGGGCTTTAGAGAGCAGAATTGGCTCCAACACAGTTCAGTAGCACCTGCTGTCTTCAGCTTAGGATCATCTGGAAAAACTTGCAACTGACTGTGAAGAGGACATAAACAATAAAAAACACAAGACCAAGAAACTCCAGCCAGAAAAATTTCTACAGTATTTTTAATTTAAACTACAGGATAAAAAAATAATAATAAAAGTTTGTTTCATAGCTGAGTGTAGAGATTGGCGGTGAACTTCTTTTAAAACCAACCTAGAATTTAGTAACTGGCTGCACAGATCAACTTGAATGCAAAAGCAGAAAGGAAGGGAACAAGCACAATAGAAGCCCCCCTCTCCCTAACTCAGCCGCTCTTTTATTCCCTCCATCCAGGACCCATGGGCTCTTTGCCAACTTGGAATCTTAAGAACCCATTCAAAGGAAAACCAAAGAAAGAAGCGTCTTGTTTAAAACCAGAACCCATTTTTTTCTTCACAGTCTGTTGTTTTCCCTCACATTTCCCACGTGAGGATGGATTTTCTGGCTGCCGTTCTCTCTGACCCTACCTCTGAGAGAGAGGAGGGGAGAGCAGAATTGCAATTCATGTAACGTTCAGTCAGATGTGCATTTTGAAGGTCTGTTTGCTCTCTCTCTTTCAGTTTTCATTCTGCTTTTACTCCGTCTCCTGCTTACATAGTAACTCCTTCTCTGAACCTACTTATTGTCCCTCCATACAGAATCAGGCTGATGGGATTCAACCGTCGGTCCAGAGACCAGAGGGAAAAGAGGAGGTAAGAGTCAGATTTGTAGAAGAGTCTGTCTAGTATGCATGTATTACATGTCACTGTTAGTTTTAGAAGTGGGGTATAAAGCTGTGCTAAAGCCTGTTTCTTTACATCAGGTCTAAAGCAAGGATGCCTCAGTGGTGCTCTGTGACTGTGACTCATGTACTGAATACAGTATTTAATAGGGTTTTAGCTGTGCTACCTGGAAGATAAAGATGCTTTAAACTGATCATTGCATACTGGATAATTGGGTGATCAAATTAATAATGAATGAATATGTCAGTTGCTACACTGATTCTGGTATTAACAGAACATTTCACACGGCTTTAAATTTTTTTTCAAAGAAAGACCGATATAAACGTATACAGTTCAAAGCCTTTGACAACAAATAAGAAAAAAAACATGATTTTCTAAATTGGCTTCAGGCAGAGAGGAGCCGTGTACGATGTTTAGGGATTAATACTAATCCTGCCTGTGGCTGAGATTCACCTTTTCGTCTGGACAAAGTCTGACAGAGGAAGCTGTACTAATTTATGCTGAGACATGCATGAGCAGAGGAACCCTGCAGCTCAGTGGCAGTGGTCTCCTTTGAACCCAGAGTAGGCTTATTAAGTAAATTCTTTTCCCTGAACTGATGTGAACAAGAATACATAGAGTAAACTTTGGTGGTAGCATTAACCATTACCAGTTTGTAAAATATCACAGTTCATAATATAACTTTGATCGTTTTATTCAAATAAAAGGTATTTTGATATAAAAAAAGTGTTTTCTTTGCTAAATGTTAACAGGTGCATACAAAGATGTTTGTATCTCACAACTGGAATGTAACTGCATATTGTTTAGGAAGCTTTGTGTCCTTGTTCAACATGGAGGGAAAAAAAGGGAGACTCTCAAAGGAGCTTTTGTTGTTTGAGTTTGAGACAGCAAAAGTCCAAGAAACACTGACTGACAAATACCTGGCCTTGCTAAGCCCCACATACCTTGGCTTTGCACTTGATACAATGTCAACAAATGCCTCCTCTGTCCTCCATGCTAGCCCGTTTCCTCTCAGTCTGTGAGGATTTTTTCATGTTTTTATAAAGGCTTCTGTTTTCTGAGCAGACATCTGGGTGTGCAGAGTTGGCCTACATAGCATGAGTGCTGACTCTCTGCTATCATGAGCAGCTTAAAGTGGCCCAAAGCACTTTCAATAGTTAGCAATGCTGAACATTAGGGTAACTGCCTTTTAATTTAATTGCATAGAAAGAATAATTACAAATTAAAATTATTAGGATTTTAACTAGATGTAATTTTAAAAAGTATATAATCCACATCCATGGGAATCAATTTATCTTATTTTGCTGGAATTATTGCACTTTCTAAAGTGGCTAAGTTCCAGCTGCATTGAAACCTAATTTTGGAATATATTTTCTACATTCAAAACTAGTAAGCATTTTCTTTTGAGCAGTTTAACTGTAGTTCAGGATTTATCGTTTTATTTCTTTCTTGAGAAAGAGTATAGAAAGTGCTTATGTAATGTCTTTTAGATGAAACCCCTTGATTTGCGCTTCACATTTTCTCTTCTGAGATAGATTCAAAACTACATATTTAATCAAAGCTTATTCCTCAAGTCCCCCCCTACCCTAGAACTGCACAGTTTTAGCGAATGTTGTTGTAAGATTTGGTGACATATAAAAAAAAGGTAAGTTAATGTGAGTCTGTTTTGTGAAAAATAAAATTTTTAATGTTTATAAGCTCAGAAGACAGTTTCAGTTTACTCCCCTGGGCTTTAGATGAACTATTTGAGTCTCTTTGGTTAATTATTCATGTAAATGCTGAATGCTGTGCTGCTTTTTTGCAACTTTTTCATCTGAAATGCATGAATACTCCGAATGCATCTGAGTGCACAATTTTGTATCATCACCTTCAATATTAAACCACACATGCGACTTATGGCTTTCTATTCCTATGTGAGTTCTTTCTGACATATCATGTAGGGTTTAAAGCCATTGGATGCACAGTGGACTATCAACTGAGCAGCTCTTAAAAATCCAAGAAATTAATTGGTTTTAGATGTGCCTTTAATGTGAATCTCCATTAGCAACAGATGGCATATTAAAATACATTTCTATTGAGGATTTTTAGGTTTATCTATGAAGTGGTCTTCCTTTTAATAGATTGCCTTTTGTTGTATACTGTTTAGACCAGTAAACAATAAAATTTTGTATGCACATGTATGCAGAGGGTGTGCAAAAAAGATTTCTGTTGTGGAAATGATTCTGTAAAGATGTGTTTGATGAATTGAGAGTAGAATTGTTTTCATTTGGCTTTTTAAAAAATAAATTCCTTCCTTCCCCAGCCTGCCCTGTTGATTGCCTGGTAGTCCACTGTGACCAAATTAGAGCGTTTCCACACCAGTGCCTGAGGAAATGACAATGTCTAGTTTCACCTAGGTTAATTAAAATTTGTGTCGTATCATTATCCCCAGAACATAATGGCACCACATGTTGCTGCTGATGATATAAGACTCTGTCAGGGGTTTATAATGTATCTATGCCTATGTGAGTTCTTTCTTTACAAACCAACTATGTTTACATTAACACACAAAAAAGAGTGTGATTAAAGATAAAAAACAAATGGCCTTGAAAATGCTTTACTATTAAAACTGTACCACAATTCTTATAAGATTAAACTAGGCCAGCTTCAATACCTCAACAGATGATTTTGAAAGGCAGTTGTGGAAGGAGTAGATTTTATTTAAAGGTGGCAGAGTAAAGATGGCCCAAAGACAAATATAATGAACAGAATTTCATTGGTAAAATGAAGGAAATCTTTTTTATGTCTACTTTTCCTGGTTTAGCACAAATAAATCCCATATATAATATTTCTTATTTTACTGTAATGTCTCGAAATTTTGCGTAAAGATTAAAGAGTGGTGAATATTTTTGGGAGGCTCATTTCCAAGGTCCTGTTGGTGCATAAATTAATTAAACGTGTAATATCACTATAATAGGCTGGATTAAAAAGAAGATAAAAAAAAAACATTGAATGAAAAGGTTTTAAATGAAAAAAACTTGTATAACTTCTCTTTTGTAAAAACCTGATACAGTATAGTAACATACTTTTTTAAGTCAAACTATGTGTGAAAATATCTATTTCTTTTCTTTTAATTTTTCTTTTAGTTAATCTCTTGGTCTTTCGAGGAGCGAAATAACTATCAATAAATATTTATCTAATGCTTCAAGAACCAATCATTAACTCAGTTAATAGATGTTTAATGAGAGCCGTTTAGATGTTGGGATTTTTTAATAATGCACGATTATGGTTCTGTTTAAACTACTAAAAGAAAGTCCTGGATTGAAATCCCAGCAAGGACTCTGCTGTATCGAATTTGCATCATTTCCCTGGACTAAAACATGCATGTTCAGTTACCATGCATATAAATAGGCTTTTTGAGTGAATGTGTTAATATCGTCTTTTGTGCCCTGTGCTTTGACAGGACTAACCCTGGCTCTTACTCATTGGCAACTGGAGATGTGAAAAAGCCCCTTTGACCATAAAATGATAAAATGGGTAGAGGGAATGTATGAAAAGCTATTTATTACACATTTTATCAAATGTTTGCCACAGCCGATGTTTATCAGGTCTAAATTTAGCCAATAATGAACTTATAATACTCCCAAACACACAGGAAATGCTATGTTAATTAGACACTAGAAAAAACCCAGCATTTTGGAAAAATTGTCTGTATGGAAACTTTAAAGTACATTTAAAAAAAGATGTCTGTTTCGATCGAAATATGAATAAATAGTGGTTGGGGATAGTCAAAGGGGATATCCAAACCTAACTTATTTGTTCAGAATAAACTTGGACCGGGCTTAAGGGCTGAGGACGTTTGATGTTTAACATCTTCTTAAGAGCTCTCTGTAAAGTGTTTGCATTTTGTTTGCCAGTATCTGTAGCAAAGATTCTCTCAACATGTTCATCTTTGGTTCAGTTTGCAATACTTAAGCAAACCTGTGGTCTCCAAACCATTAATCCAATATGTTAAACAACCATTTAGGTTAAATTATATGTGAAACCCAGGGCTACATCTTATGCACACCACCAAGGAGATCTACAATCCATATCAACAATTTAGTAAGATTTGCTGAGAGTAAAGAGACTGAAAAGAAAGAAACTGGCCAGCTGTTATCCAGTTGATTGATAATTTTCCTTATCATTTATATTTTGACAGGGATTAAGTCTTAAATCTATATTACATAATACATTTTAATGATCTAGTAATTTGTTTAATGTAACACCAATAGAAAACAGCCATTCTAAACGTATACAGTAAATACATTTAAGTCACATTAAGGATTTAAATGCAAAAAACTGTAAATTGAACGTTTTTCAACAAGACTACTATTGATTAAGTGTTAAGATTTTTCCTTTAATCCACTGTATAATATTAGCCTAAAGGGATTACTGTGAACTCTGAAAACAGAGATTACTGTTAGTTCTCAGTCTCAGATTATACATGTTTAAAAACTGGTCCAGATTATTTTGAACAGACAGAAGCTTCTAATTTTATTCTTTACATTGTAATCCACATATACAGTAGATTGACTGATTAATTGCTGTTTTAGGAAAAATGAAACCAATGGACTAACTTTAAAAAACACTCTATATGTACGTATATTTGTGCCAACTCATTAATTCAGCAACAACATTTAAAGATATTGATAAAGGGGAAACAAAAATGTAAAATCTAAGTTAGGAGCATCTCAATACATTAGAATAATACATTATAGATTAATATCCTTGGCATTCTTGTTTTTTTCATTCAGAGATCTCTTTAGGCTGTGGTTATCCTTCTTACTTGTGCACTTTTTACCACTAAATGTTTTCTATCCACTCAACTTTTCTTTACCATTTTTAAATACAGCACAATATAACCTGCCTGTTCCTTTAGAGTAGTAATGCTGATGCAATTGTAGCATCTGAGGTGGAATGTGAAGTTATGCATAATTCTGATAATATTCTGAGTTCCGGATAATATACATTTACAATGCCTATAAGTCCTATCAAATGCAACCAAAAGCTTAAAAAATTCACTGTATTTAAAGCATCCATATCATATGAGTTTTATTCGTTTTTTAACTGCATTTTAATTAACATTTTAACTTAATGAATTGCCTCTGTATGTACAGCCGATATTGGATATAGCTCATAAGCAGTGACCTCCACAAGAAATTTAAAAAAATCTTCACATGTATTTCAAAGCAGCCTTTAATAATACAGCAAATTTAATTAAAAAACAATTTGGGTTTAAACATAGCTTTAAGTGGGGGAGTAAATCAAGAAGCAAATTAAGAGAGCTATTCTGTTTCAGTATATTTTCTGTTTCGTCTGAATTTTTCAAGAAAGTTCTGTTTGCTATGTTATAGATTCAATTTTTTTTTTTATATATATAACATGGCTGCTGCCAGATAGTGTTTAATTTGGTTCTGTCTATTTTGTTTGAGCAGAAACACTTTGTTTATGCACCACTCACATTTCCATTTTAATTACAGCCTAACAGCTACTTTTCCTTATTTAGTTGTCAATAAACAACTAACAGGTAGCAGAGACCCGCTCCAAAACACACGCTGCATCTTGATTGCTTATTTTTACAATGATTTGTTTAGTTAATTGCCTGCTTTTGCACTTATGGTGAAGAAATTGACATTATGTGGTTCATTATATTACAGCTCACTTTTCAGATAATTTCACACAACTTCTATGTTCTGTTTTTCATCTTTTTGCAGTGAAATAAAGGACCCAGCTCACGCTGTCCATGTAATCAGGACAGAGATACAGCTTCGGTAAAAATGGATCAGCACATATCAGAAATAAATGCGATTGAAAGAATAAGGAAGGCCTTGGTCCAACCCCGAAGCTCAAGGTATTAATAATGATATTTCTTCGATTGTAACACACTTTGAGGAATTCCAACTTGCAGCTCCACTACCACAGCATGTCTTTTAAATTTTGGGGTATCTGCCTTTGCCTGAGTACAGAGAACTCTGTTATATTTAATGATAGTATTGGTATTTGACAGGGGGAATTTCCATTAGTAAATAAAACCAACCATACCTTACAGATGCATCTCAGGAAAAGGAATGACTCACAGGATGTTAGGAGACCTGCTGCATCTCTTGAATTACAACTCAACTACTGAATTCAGGGTGGTGGTTTAGAGATCTTAGTAAAAAGATTAATATTATTATTATTCAATTATTTTTTTCCTCTTTTCAGACAAACAACTAAGCGGCTTAGATCCTACACTGGAAAAGATCAATATCTAGATAAGTAATTTTTGCTTAAAATAAGTGCATTTGTTCTTGAATTGAGGATGTAAAAGAGACATTTTGCCAACGGAACAAGACCATTTACATTTAAAATAAGAATTGCATTGTCTTATTTCATGTGCATGATATCTAATTATCTTATTTTAAGATTAAAAATGTTCATTCCATTGGCAAACTATCTCATTTACCTGCTCAAATCAAGGGTAAGTACACTTCATTTAAGAAATTAACTTATTTCTAGATCGTTTTTCCAGTGTAATAAGTCCTCCTATTGTTTTGACTGTTAATTATTCCTCATTATGTTTCCCTTCAAAAAAACATCAACTGCTTTAAAAAATGGTTGGGAAGATGAAGAGGACAGATGTTTGGTTTATTGTTATATGATGATGTTTACTAACCAACATTTGTTTTAAACTTGATTTAGTTTTTTTGCTGTTTAGATTATTTTTTCCCCATTACTGGTTCTATCAGACAAGCCACCTTTATTCATAAATTTTAAAAAAGCAAGCACTGAACAAAATGCTGAACATAGAGAATGAATTAAATAAATGAAAAAAAATTGAATATAAACTGATTAAAAGTAGAAAAAAATGCCTTAAGTTGACAATAATATAAAATTGGCTGGAGGAAAATATGACATAGACATGAAAAAAAATCCAGATCAAATTCACAACTTAAACTGGGTCCAAAGCCAAAGACAACATAATGGAGGGCCTTCAGACCATATCTAAGATGGTTATTTTATGCAAACTGTTCTGTAATTTGCCAGCTGCAATGCCTTGTCCCTCTGAGTATCACTGTGTCCTTGACAACTCCATAAACAGCTGTTTGGTAGATCTGAGTGACCTAGAAGGGGAGTGAATGTGCAGCACTTCATAACCATTTTATCTGTCTTCTAATAACATGTTATTTAATAGGTTAAAAACCTATTAAATTATGAATTTAATAGGTTTTTAATAAAAGAGTTATTCACAGTATCTATGATTTCACTAAAGACTCTAAGATGACTTGCAGAGAAACATCATTTTCTCTTTACGGCATATAACACAAAATCTAGTTCTGAAAGAGGATGAATTCTGTACTAATCATCTCTAATGTTGGTACATTGATGTGTATAATTAACCACAGTGTTTTTGGCTACGTTCACACTGCAGCCTGAAGTGACCAAATCCGATTTTTTTGCCCATATGCAACCTGGATCTGATCTGTTCATGGCAGTCTGAACAACACAGATCCGATTTTTTTTCCCAATGCAACCCAGGCCACTTGGCTAAGTGGTCCTGAATCCGATACGAATCTAATCTTTTCAAATGCGACCCGTGTCTGAACGTCATTAATACCCAACAAATGTCACTATTATGCGTCTTGCTACGCAGAAGCGGCAAGAAAAACAACAAGCATGGCAGACGATGAAGCGGACAGCAGTATTAATGTTTAACCTTATTGAAAAGACTGTGTTTTTATGGTTGGAAAAGACCACTAGATGCGCACCGGCACTACCATCCATGTTTACTAACAGAAAAAAAGAGCACGCTGGCCTGTGACGTCATTGCGTCCTCTACTGCGCATGCGGGACACTTGCGTTGTATGACTGCAGTTCACACAGGAGATCACATACAAGTCGCATTCATTTGGAAATATGAACGGCAATGCAAAAATAATCGGATTATACAAAAAAAAATCCAAATTGAGCATCAAGGCCTGCAGTTTGAACGTAGCCTTTGTTGTCAAGTAATTGTTAATGTATATAAAATTAAACTGTTTTGAATATTCTAATTAAGAGAAAAAAATTGGTAGGGGTGGCCAATGATTGTCTAAGGGTGGCCATGGCCACCCCTGGCCCTCCATCTAGCTCAGCGCCTGGTGTATTCATAATTTCAATTTTAAATTGTTGTTTTTTTGCCATGCATTATTGTTTTTTTTTCTGTTTTGTTTCGTATCTTGAACGCCTAAATGAACAATTATAGCCACTGCCTCCTTTGCCTATAAGTCTGCTTGCTGTCAATCAAGCCCCAAGCCGCAGCTGTTCCCGATCCGTGAATCAGGCTCTCAGACCGGGCAGCCTGTGCACCTACAGCTTCAAAGATTAAACTAAGACAAACAAAACGTTTAGTTGTTTATTCCTCTCGTTGCTCCTGTGAAATGTCGCGTGTAGAGGACCCTGCTCATCTGTCCAAGTCTCGTCTGAGGTCAGATTTAGTCAGCCACAATGTGGAGCTGCCGCCTGCAGGGAGCAAGAAAGAGGTTTACCTGAAGCTGCACCTGGAACACGTGGATCAGGGAAACGCTGCGGGCTTCTCCAGCGACGAAGATGATCAAGTGCTTTATGCGCCAGTGAGTCGATACATTTAGAGATTATTTTTTACAATAATTTATGGATTATTTTTCTCAAGTTTGCACAATAAAAAAGGGAAAATTAAACAACACAAACATAATGGTCTATAAAACTACTGTCGGCAAGGAGAGAGTATAGAGTATTGTGAGGGAGGGGTTCCAGACTTCCATTTTCTCTAGCTGTAAAGACATGGTATAGATTTACATGCGTCTCTGTACTTAGCCCATGTCTCCACAGACATCAGCACCTGTCACTCTCGGTTACTTGCCAACAACAAGGGTTCCCCTCAGTGGAGGTTCTAGACCAAGTGTACCAGGGGGCCATGAGGGGGCAAGAGTGTTTTAATGGGGGCCACAGAAAAGCATGAAATAAAAAACAGGGCAAGGGATTCAAATATATTAAGATAGCTGCATGATGTGAGATTTCTATTAATTTAGGTTTAAGTAAAATTCTATGTCTTATTAGGTCAATTTACATTCATAATTTAGGAATTTTACCTATTTTTGACGTTAAGTTAAACAAATTAAGTTTTCTATAAAATCTGAATTAGAACTCAAGAGCTGATAAATTGAGCTGTAAAAATTTGACTATTCTTTTTTTATTTATATATATATATAAAAAAAAAAAACATTTAGCAGAGGAAAACTGGGATCCTATCTCAATACCACCGAAGCTATCACCTTATTGCTTTTAAATAATTAGTAAAAAAAAAAAAATGAAATTGATCCAAAGGACTTATAAGTAACCATGTCTGTTCCAGTGCATATCATCATTAGAATTTCTTTCAGTATTATGTCTTCAGCACAGGGGTACTGGCCCCCATTGGCCCCTGGTTCCCCTTATTAGCTGCAGAAAGAAGAAATTTGTTTCAATAAGATGTATGTGGATTCCAATTCAGACTCTTGCTGAGTTTGAATTCAGGGGATGTGTCCTCCGAAGGCCAGATTATTTGGCCAAATACGTCATAGCGGGTGTTTGGATTGGAAGACTCCTCGTTATGCAGCCAAGAAATGCAGCCTTTTATTTGGTGCCCATTTTGAAGGACGGGTCCGCCTTATTATCCTACATAGCCTTGGATATCCCTTGATTCACTGCGAGTCCAAGCAAGCCAGCTACTTTTCAGAAGGCAACATCCCAGTATTTAAACAGAAAATTAAGTGAAAAGAAAAGGCTGGACCGGACAAAGGATAATCACAACCTTCAGAGGATTATGAAGTTTTTAATTTGTTACGTGTATTTATGTCAGGTGTTTTAGAAATATACAGAACAATAGACTGACTAATTTGTTTTATAATACAAGTCTGCATGTGACACAACTTTTCTTGAAGCCCAGTATATATATATATATATATATATATATATATATATATATATATATATATATATATTATTACACTTTGGTCATTGGTACTTGGGGATGTGCACTTGAAGTAAAATAACAAAAAAGAAATGCATTTTATCTTAATAAAAATGTAAAATTTTTGAGTGAATATGAAAAATAGAAGATTAACTGAAGTTCAATGAACTTTGAAAAATATATGTAGCTAAATTACTTTGACCATTAGGTGGCTCTACCCCACACTTTAATTTTTTTGGTTGGATTTTTATCTGCATCTTTTGTGTTCACAAATGATACATGATAATGCCTTAAAAATCAATATATTGGCTTTTCTAAATATTAATATCATTAATAGTTGAGAGCATTACTACTCACTGATGTATTCATTTTGTTACCATTACTTCTTCCTGTCATTTCCACATTTTCCTTTGTTAAAATATGTCATTTTTATAGAGCTATACATATTACTGTAGTTTAAGATCTCAACAATGGTTCAAAATACTTCTTTTTCATGCTTTTTTAGCCGTTTTTTTTTGCTTCAAAGATCTGTTTTGTTTTCTTATGCTTTTAAAGGGTGGGGATCGAGTTGATACAAAGATTCCTGACCCAACAGCATTATCAGATAAGGATCTCAAGGACTTGCTACTTAAATATGGAGTTAAAGCAGGGCCTATTGTAGGTGAGATTGCTTTTAACAATATCCGTTGCACTCAAAATATTCACGTCAGTGCTAATTCTGTTTAGTGGTTTTAGTGCAGTCAGAGAAATTCATTTATTTCAAATCATATTCCTGAATCTCAGCCTCGACAAGGGCCGTATATGAAAAGAAGCTAAGGAAACTACTGCAATCTGATGGGAACGAGGGATTAAATGAAGCAGAGACTGCGGTGCTGTACTCAGACAGTGATGAGGAAGGTGAAGAAAATGGGGACTTGGAAGACGAGAAGGAATCAGGTGGGACCAGAATTATTTAACTTGATCTAGACATTTATGGTTCATTTTAACACAATAATTATCCTATTGTTTTGTTGCTTGCACCGGTTCAGAGGAAGAGAAAGAAAGAATTAATGAAGCACTGGAGCTGAACCAAAAACAGTGCAATGAGGTGAGAAACAACAAACTGCTGGTCAATGTGTTTACTTTTTCCTTTACCCACCCAATACTTGAAACAGCTTTTTCTAAGGCTCAAAATATCCTAAATTGCTTCAATTTGCAATTTGGGAACATGGTTTGAAAAAATATAAATGTTTCTTTACAGAAAAATGTGCAGAGGCGTGACTATCCTTATTCACAGTGCTTTTTCTTATCATCAAAGCTGGTAATTTAAACTTTTTTCTTTTTTGAACAATATCCTGTCAAACCCCATGCGCTAAGCAATGTTAATAGCTGTTAAATCTTTGCATGGTCTTAGCGGCCTTGTCCTCAGGAAAACACTGCCTATCATTCCAAGAGGAATTTAGGGAGTGCATTAAAATCATCAGAGTGGACTCAAGCTCATCGCTCACAGATTCCAGCAGGAATTAACAAAGTATCCTTAAAAACCAACCATGCAGGATTAAGATCAGGGGTAGGCTGGTGTCAACTTTTACATTTCTTCAAACATTCTGTTTTTATTTTATGGTAAATAACATTGATTTTGAAGTAGTATAAGGGCATAATAATCCATACTTGATTGTAAAATGCTAATATAAAGCCTTACAGGTTCCCTCTGGATCACAGTCAATGGTGTCAAATGGTTGCTCATCATTTTCTCCAAAGGCTTTCAGCATTACTCAAATGGTCGAAAAGGGAAGTTGTTTTATACCTTGTAAAAAAAAAAAAAAAAAAAGATTTTATATATTTACCGTTTATTATGTATGTATGTTTTTAATCAATATTCACTCTCACTGGATGCCCATAAACCATAAAAAAACAAAAAAAAACAGGTGGAGAGTCGGATCTCACCCTCTGCTTGCTCCGACAAGGAGCTGAGCCACAGCAGTAACCTGGAACATTGGTCACACTCCAACAGGGTCAGTAGTGAGCAGATTGCTCAGTCACACTTCAAGTTTCACTTTGGTGCTGGTGGAAGTGTTTTCAGAAGAGCACTTAAAGAGTCAAATTGAGACAACAAAAGTCTAGTGAGTCATGTTCATATATTTCCTTTTCTATAGCTGGACAAGGAGGCTGAAGAAAAGGATATAAGCATGGAACAGAAACTGAACAACACCTATAGAGACTCTACTGGTGTAAAAAAAATCAAGGCATATACATCCCCTTTGACTTAATTCAAATCACTTATGTTTTCAATGTTGCACATTTTACTGTCTTTAATGTGAACTGCTGTTTAAGCTATTCAAAACCCCATCAGTTCAAACAAATTAGAAAGTTTAGATATTTTTATAATACTTAGGGGTTGTTATGCAAGTAATGAGACAAGGCAAAAAAATACAGGCTCCTAAATTAAAAAAAAAATGTCATTAAAATATGGGTTAAAATGTAGAATGGATCAAAAGATGTTCTTGGGATTCAGTTTTAAAATCAGCCTAAAGTAGAGCACGATTGTGGATAAGAAAACTGAGGACATAGTAAGTGTGACCCAATTTATATTCAGCAGAACTTTGAAGAATCCCCTTTCCCTGCTTTATGATACTTTAGGGATGCATTTCTGCCAGTTTAGCACAGCTAGAAATTAAAGTTCAACTTTATGTTTAGGGTTGTCCTGTTCAGAGTAGAACCTTAACCTACACGAGAGGCTGGTGTCCTGCAACGTTTTGGTATGGTCCAGCTCCATCGCTCATGAATTAAACGACCCCCCCCTCCCGCAAAGTGCAATCATGCTCCGCAGAGTCTGTAACTAACCTAATTGTTTCTTTTTAATGTCCTGTTGTAGAGACAAATCTAAAACTAATGACTTTATTGTAAACGCCAAAATTATTTTCCTTATTTTAAAAATGTCTGTACTTTGTCACATGAGAAAAATCCCAAAGGAAGCTTTTAAGTTTATGGTTGCAATCTCTGAAATATTGCACCTAAGGAAAACTTTATACATCTGATAGATTTAGTGTCTTCAAATGCATTGGATTTTAACTTAATATTACAGTGGATGACCTGGATACAACACAGCCATTGAGGGGTTTTGTTTAACATTTTCAGGCCCTCCCTTTGGCTTTGACAGTTTAGGTGGTTCATCACCCTTTGAGATTTCACTCACTTGACTCACTCCTCTGTTCTTTTCTTTTCCTCATTTCCTGGTGAAATGGCTTTTCTGGCACACACAGTACAAGCAAGTGTGTCCTTTCAAAAATAATAGTATTTTTTCCCCCCTTCTTTTCTAGCATCTTCAGGAACCAGTAAAAAATATTTTAAAGGACCTCATCCCAGAAGCAAAGACCACACCCACTGGGATCTAGTAAGTGTCGCAACCTTAATTTAAAACTGTCAAAGTTAGAGAATCTTTAAAATTGTTCATAACCCATTTTCTAAAGGCTTGATCTGGGATTTGACAACAATGGCCAACTTTAGGGATTCTTGTAGCGCTCTTACAGCGCTCATCCAGTTCCTTATTGTACAAGGGAGCACATCCTGGTCTTGCTAGAATGTTAACGATCTCCAAAATCCCTCTTTAGCTGCAATGCATTTGAGTTATATTTTTGGATTGTTTGCTAATGTTTTTGTATATTTCAGTGTCACTCCACGAAGACCCATCAAGGGTGCGGCACAGCGGCCCATCCTGTATGGATACCCCGACACGCCGGTCAGTCCTACAACCTTGGAAAGACGAGACGTGGAGAGACGTCTTGTACCCATCTATGTCCAGATTTTGGTCTTCTTTATTGTTTTGTATATCCTCTACTTCATTTCTATTAATGTTTAGGACAGCATGGCTTTTTTTTGGCCTTGCTGGAGTGTTTAAACCAGTCTTCTGGTAGAAAAGAGGAATTTCACCTTCTGGTTGAGACATGGAGCAAACGGTTTGTCTCTCTAAATCTTTAACTGTTTCATTCACCAATGTTTGTTGACATATGTGAGCAGGCCAAGACATGTCTGTTGGTATTAAGAATCTGCCAGTCCACTGTAACTCTTTTTGTATTTTATCTTGTTTGACCCTAATATTGACCATTTAGCTAATTGGCAACACTGTTTGAAAAAAGGTACGTTTAGTCCTATTTGAAAAATGTTATTTAAATTGCAAACTTTGATGTAATTCTTTATGCCTTGAATTTGTATTGTAATACTTGTATGTTTTTATATTTGATGTTTAAATAAAGACTGTTCTGCTTAATGTTTTTATCTGATTTTAAGAAATTAAAATGAAGAGAAATATTTTTAATCATAAAATCAACAAATATTTTGGAACTTCACTCTTAAGTAGTATTTCCTTTTTGTGCATTTCTGCAAAATGTATTATTTGTATGTATAACTGATGAGGTTACAAGGGCAATAAAGTGGATTCATAGAAAAGTTGAGTGCACTATGCATGTTATACATTTGAAGCCCCCCAACCCCTTTTGATTCACTGTCTATATGTCATTTAGCTCCTTTTTTGTAAACTTATGCAAATACCTATGGAGGGGAGATAAATACGTATTTAAAAATGCACTTAAACATTTCACTGATTCTTTGTGCCCTACATCTATACATGTTGACATTTGTTTCTTCATGCTGCTATATATGTATTTAATTTTGACTATGCAAATCAAACTGAAAATCAACAGTTAAATTTATGAAAAATATCAGATAAAATGAAGCAGCAAAAGACCCCAGAGAAACTTCTGAAGAGATTAAAGGTGAACTTCAAGCTCAAGGAACATCGATTGACAGATCACACTATTCCTCATTGTTTTAGCAAAGTAATGGGAGATTACCAAGGAGGATAAAAGTCTTGAAAACAAATCATGAAAAGGTCAGACTGGAATTTGCAAAGCTACATGCTGACAAGCCGAAGAGCTTCTTCAAGAATGTCAAATGTGACAAAAATGAAACTTATTGTCAAGGCACATCAGCTCTATGTTCGTTGATGGGAGAAATTAAGCCTATCAACAGAACACTGAACACTGTCCCTTCTGTGAAACATGGAGGAGGTTCTCTTATGCTATAATTCATCTGGCACAGGGTGTCTGAATCTCCACAGGGTTCCATCAAATCTATAGACTATCAAGGGATTCTATAGAGAAATGTGTTGCTCAGTGTCAGAAACCTTGGTCTTAGTCACAGGTCAAACCCCCAGTTGAGCCTTTTTACAGTGCTTAGTCTTGGCTCTCTCATAGACACAGCTATGGGTTCTGCTCATACTGCAACTATATACGCTTTCTTTCACCCTTTTTACATGAATGCCAGCTCAGAGCTCATCTGCTTATCGATTTCTCTCCTAGATAGAGTCATCTATGGGGTTAATTTACCATCCCATTTTCTATAGTGCATATGTTCCTTTTGTGTTTCTGCTTCTAACTCCTTTAACGCTCCTGTTGGCCTTGCCATAAGGCTGCTCACACCCAGCCTGGTTCTGCTGGAGGTTTCTTCCTTCTAAAAGGGAGTTTTGCATTTCTGCTGTCGCTGCATACATGCTTGATGTGAAGGATTGCTGCAGTCAACTACAAAATGCAAGTGAATACGTGCCGCAAAATCATGGTCTCAATGCAATCAGCTGGTTATCCTTAGGAAACTTTTATCAAAAAGTCTTAACTTAATTTAGTTGTCTCTTAAAAGTTTCTTGAGATGACGTGTTGTGAATTGTCGCCATTTAAATAAACTGAATCGAAAACTGATATATTCTATTCAATAAAAAATTTTTTGCTTTAGAATTTTTTTTATCATTGGTCATTGGAAGGCATACTAGTATGTGAAATATCCATTCATTTTCTGTTACGCTTATCCCAGCTGTCTACAGGCGAGAGGCGGGTACACCCTGAACAGGTCACCAATCTATCGCAGGGCAACACATAGACAGACAACCATTCACACACTCACATCTAAGGAGAATTCAGAGAAGTCAATTAACCTAACATTTTTTTGGACTGTTGGAGGAAGTCTGAGTACCCGGAGAGAACCCACACATGCTCAGGGAGAAAATGCAAACTCCATGCAGAAAGACCACAGAGCAGGAATCAATCCCAAAACCTTCTTGATGCAAGGCAGCAAGCAGTGTTACCCATTGCTCTCCTGAGAAATCTACAAAAGATTAGAGCAACTGAAAAAAAAAAGTTAACTGATTTTTAAATATTTCAGTTTAATATGGGGAAAAAGTCATTCTGACTTTAATCTCAGAATTCTGACGTTTTTTTCCCCCTCAGAATTCTGACTTCTTTTCCCCTCAGGATTCTGAATTTAATCTCAGAATTCTGACTTTTTTTCTCAGAAGTCTGACTTTAATCTCATAATTCTGACTTTAATCTCAAAATTTCTGATCTTAATGTAGATGGGCACAATGAAGGAAGAGATGTGGGAGCACTCAGGTTCACTGACAAAATATGTGAGTTGTTTGAGAGGGCCAGTGACACATTGGTGGAAAATGAGGGAATTAGGTGAATTTTTACGTGCCTGAGGGGTCCCCGGTGATGCTATTTTATTAATGGAAGATAAGAAGGTGATTAAAACAAGAGAGCTAGTTTAGTCTCTAAAACAGACATGGGTACGGCTTGATGCTGACTTGTTTGTTAGCTGCAAAAAAAGTCAGAATTTTGAGGAAAAAAAGTCAGAATTCTGAGATAAAAGTCACAATTCTGAGAAAAAAGATTAAAGTCAGAACTGTGAGAAAAAAGTCAAACTTCTTAGATCAAAGTCAGAATTGTGAGGAAAAAGTTAGATTTCTGAGATTAAAGTCAGAATTGTGAGAAAAAAGTCAGAATTCTGAGATTAAAGTCAGAATTCTATATTAGTCAGAATTTAAACTTTTTTCTCATATAATACTGAAATAACATGTAAAGATTGGTTAACTTTTTACATTTTTTTCAGCGGCCCTAATCTCCTTCCGTAGCAATCCATGCATAAACAAAATATTTAAATTCTATACAGCAAATAACAAAATGCCTAAAACTTTTATGGCTGAACACACAAAATGGAGCTAAAGCTGTTCGCCAGTAGGTGTCTCTTCTTCACACTGCAGGGTGTCATCTGTGCTGACTTCACTCTGCAACTTCTGCTGTCACAACAGACACAACAATGGCAGACTCAAAGATCCAAGCGTGGAAGTTTTTAAAGATAATTGTTTTCACTTTCTTTATCACAGTATTGCTGTTATTCACTTCGGCAACAATCCGGACTCTGTCTCTGGACGTAAATGTCGGACTTCAACTCGCACGCTGGGAAAAGTCGAACAATATCTCCCTGGTGATTGATCAACATCAGAGAGAGGAGCTTCTAGCCAAATTTAAAGGTAGTGTGGGTCCGTTAAGCTTTGAGATTGGCCTAGTCCACAGAAACAGGTGTGGGGGTGTTGCTAGATCATGGTGTGTTTGTTTTGTCGTTCAGAGGCGCTGAGGATCCCCACAGTGTCATTCTCTGAGAGGGAGAGCAACACCACAGCTCTGCGTCAGTTTGTCACCTTCCTCCGCAAAGGTACGACAACAGGTGTCCCCCTCAAACATCACGCCTTTACCCTCTGTTTCTAAAGGTTTCCTCAAAGAAACCAGGATGGTACATTCCTATACATGCTAGTAAACGAGCGTGTAACTGATACACCTACATTGCTGCTAACCTTATTGTTAGCTGCTAGCAAGAGCTAACTGATAATCATTAGCTTCATCGATTTGCTCAGAACTTAATGTCGTATAATCATTTCAAATATAAGTCAGTGGATATATTTGTACAGAAGGGAAATATTAAAACAGTCTGCTTGGCTTCATCCTGATAATAAAGCTAATAGCAAAATTTTAAAAGTGTATGGTTTAATTTGGCTTTCTACTTTATAATTAACCCCAAAATATATATTCAGCTTATGTGATTTGTTCAGTTTACATTCTGAAATCAAGCTATAAATTAGTTTAAATATATAGATTGGAATCAGACAGTGCACTTACTGAGCAAACATGCATTTAAAAATGAAAGCATATTTTTTTTGCAATTTAAATGCTTAAAAGCATTTACATCTGCAAAACTCAGATGAAGAGAAAATACAATTAGGAGAAATGTATTGATACAATTACTTAGTCTTTGGCGCTCAGACCTCGACAGGAAACATAGCGCTTAATTTTGATAGATATGCATGAACAGGAGTAAAGAACAGGGCTGTCTCCCCCAGGCCTGAAACTGCTGGTGGAGTGGAGATAGATGAATTTGGTCAGTCTGTAGACTGCTGGTTAGCGAGACGGTATGCTGAGCTTTATGGGGAGATCCAGTGGATTGCGTGAGCTGATTCTAGAGCTTCACTCAGGGACCTGGAAGATGGAAGTCCTGTTGTGTGTGTCAATGATGAGCAAGCATAGGGTGACAGTAGAGAGGAAAAACTTCCCGTTTGGAAGAAACCTCTGGCAGAACCAGTCTCAACATGGCGGTCTTCTGCTGGAACGGTTGAGATGAGACAGGGAATGCAGTAAGAGTCCGGGATGAATGACACTCTGATTAAGCTTTAACGACGATGGTGGAGGAGGGGCTTTTGGTGGGCTGAGTTTCTTCAGTTGAACTTCCGCCTAGGCTCCATTTGCTAATGTAGTATCAGGTAGGGCTGAAAAAGTTAATTGGATTAATCAATGATTGAAATAACAGTAAATCAATTATCAGTTAACTGGAGTACAGAGACTGTAAAATGTATGTAGCTGATGTGCGAGCCATTAAGAGCAGTAATTATATCAAAATTGTAAAAAAAATAAAAAAACACGGTGTAAACATTTTGCATTTAAGATAGAAAAAATAAGTCGTCTGTCGACATGCTCTATTAAGAATCCCTCAAGTGGAAAAGTTTTAGTTTCACCAGGTTGAATTTTGTAAAAAGTCTTCTTTAAGGAAACTTTGGCTTTCCGATTATTGATCAATTAATTGAAAAAAATAATCAACAGATTAAATAATTGCAGCTTTACTCTCAGGTTAAGACTAATCTTCAAGTTAATGCCCCCCCCCCCCCCCCCCCAAAAAAAAGAAAAAAAGAAAAAGGTTTTCCAATTATTCTAGTTAAATTCCTTTAGGGTCTTTAATTTGCAGCAACTCCTCCTCAGCAAACATGGTCCCTTTGTTTGCTGATTGGTTGGATGAGAGCATATGTTTAGAAGAGTTTTGGCATTCTATGACTCTCCTTAATGTTCGGTTAATTGACCGCTTTGGAAAGATGATGTCCTGTCCAGAACTGGAACTCCACCACAAATGCTGCACTTTTTCAGATGCTCTGACCCAGTCTGCAAATCGTTAAAGTTCTGCCTTCTCAAACTAATACAAATCCTTATTCT